AGTTGGAAAGATAATACATAAATTACTACAGTGCAAACTAGAGATAAGTACAATAAAATAACTATATGAGAATTCAGAGGTATACATGATGAGACAATGAAATATATTGTAGAGACTATATTGCAGTCTTTAAGGTTGAGTAATATTCATAGCTTAATGTAAAAGACAAGTCAAAATAAGTGGCTAGATTGGTGCTCAGAATTTTATAAAGGAAGTTTGACAATACAAACTTCAAAGTTCTTTCCAATTCTAATATTATTGTAAACTGACCTTCACCATCATTGTCACTGAAACCCGTGATACCACTGCCATATACAACAGAAAATATCTCATCCTTACATTCAGTTCTCAAAGTCAGTCCCTTAGCTCAGCCTTCATCATGTCCTATTTAGACTACTCCAAAATCCTCTAAATTGGCTAACCTGACTCAAGTATCTCCCATTTCAATACATTATGCCCAACATTTCTTTCTTAAATGTGTTTTAACACCACATCCATTATTTCAAAAGTTTATTCCAAAATTTATAGCCATTGAAGTTATTCTGTAGCACAACACATTTTATTCAGTGTATCTCTTAATAAGACAGTTTTAATGCTTCACTCTTCTCAGATGTCATATAGATTACAGCTAATCTAACTTTCCATATGTGAACTATATATGCTTGTTCAGTTTATGCTCAGATCCTAATTCCTCTGTGAACCCTTCCCTGACTAACCTAGTTTATTTTTATGTTTGTAAGACATACAATGCTTTCACTCATGTTCTATCTTTATTTAGTATACCATTAGATATACTGTCTTTTGTTTCAAATGCTTTTTGACTTAACTGTCATACCAGAAATGAACAACCAGTTGCTATAAAATGTGGAAACACGTATTTAATTATTGTGAAACTGTAACTTGGAGATTTCTAAAACAGAGAAAAAAGGAATATTTTTGAAGTGATTTTTCTGGTGTTCTTAAAAGTTTATTTCTTTTGGAAATCACTGGCTTGCAAAAATATATGAGTTGATCTGATGCAAACAATATCTCTAAATTCAACTACAATTTAAATTAATGTCAGCAAAGTGCCTTATAAAAACAATGAAGGGACGGGATCAGAAAATGGGAGACTGGTATTTTCTTCTAGTCTCCATACTGTCACTGGTATGAATTTGGACAGCTCAAAGAATCTCTCAGATGTGTTTTCTGAAAAGTACACCATCAACTAATTAAGCTAAGAAAGCATATTTCTAAAATGTACTGTTACAGAAGACTAAGGAGTTTGAAAAAGAAGATGTCAAGTAATACACAGTGGATTTTGTAATGTCTCAATATTAAGTTTCTGTACATAATTATAATATTCTATCAGTCTATCAAAAACCATGAAACCACAGCTAGCTTTTAGGAAATATGATTTCTTAAAGTGCAGTCAAATAAATATATCTGTGTAGACTTCCAAAGGTCAGCTATTCATTCAGTAAGCATTAACCTAGTGAACAATGTGTCACGCAGGTCCTAGAGATCAGCAGGGAAGATAAATATGATAAACATTGTATCTGTCCTAGAAGAGATCACCTTCTAGAAAGGAAATAGATAATTACAATAAAGAATGATAAGTGCAGTGATAGTGCTAAGTACAAGGAGGCAATTGGAACACAAAGATCAGAACAAATACTTAAACTGGTCATTTGGAGACATTATTAATTACACAGGGTTTTTCCTATAGTGAATGACTTTTAGGTCTGGATCTAAAGGGTATAGGTTAGGAAGGCATTTCAAGAAGCATTAACAGGACTCTCAAAACAAAGGAATATAATATAATATAGACTGTTCGTGGACTTTGTTTTAGCCTGTTTGGATTGCTATAACAAAATATCTTAGAATAGATAACATATAAACAATTTATTTCTTATAGTTCTTGAAGCTAAGATGTACAAGATCAAGGTACTATTTATGTTTGGTGAGATTTTTTCCTGACATATAAATGGTGTCTTCTTTTTGAGCACTTACATAATGGAAAAGGCAGAGCAGCTTTCTAGAGTCTCTGGCACAAGGACACTAACTTCCCTGATGAGGGCTTAACCTTGTGGTCTTACCAAGTGACAAAAGCCCCAACTCTTAATACTATCACACTGGTAATTAGTTTTCAACATAGATACTTTGGGAAGAAAGAAATATTATAACCACAACAGATATCAAATAGTTTAGAAGAGTTACCAAAAACAAAAAAAACAAACAAAAAACAAAACAAAACAAAAAAAAACACCTCACTGAAGAGATTTACAGATGGCTGAGTACTGTGGTATAGTGGTTGAGAGTGCAAGTTTTAGAATGAGTTAACCTAAGTTAAATACCCAGTTTGCAGCACATTTGTTGTGTAATCTTGGCAAGTTACTTAAACTCTCTGGACCTTTGTTTCTCATTTGTAAAGTCACTATAATTTATAAATATACCTCAGAGGGATGTTGTGAGAATTAAATAGAAACACATAAAATGCAAAGAACAGCATTTGTCATAGAACCAGTATTTGGTATAAATAAACATGTCTCCCTAGCCAATTAGTTGTCAACTCCTGGAGTGAAGGAAATTACCAGCACTTGGCTGACGTAAGCACTTAGTAGGCATTCTTGAATGAAGGAGTGGGTGAATGATCATCAACATACTTATTTTTTGTCATGGGCATCATCCTAAGAGGCAAAAAGGTAGAATTAGCTGAGTTGTTTTCATTATTACCTTATTATAGTCAGCTCTACAGTGTAAAGGAAGGAAAGAAATTGGGCAATCTACTTGTTCAAATTTCAGACTGTACTTTGAAACAATGAAAGAACTTCTAATTGAAAAAGCCTCTTGTCTCTCTTGTGGGGTATACTGAGCAAAGATAATTCCTTAACATTCAGAATTACTATTCACTGAGTGCTTGCTATATGCCAGATACATGATAAAACTTTCAAATGCAAGAACTTATGCAATTTATAGGGCAACACCACAATCTTGTGATATAGGTACTATTTTTACCTTTATTTTAAAGATCAACAGTCTCAGAAAGGTGAATTAGATTACCAAAGTCAGTTCCTCAGTTGTGGGGCAAAAATTCAAAGCCTGATCTACTTAGTAATGCAGTGCTTGACACATAGTTGATATGTAATAAATATTTGCTGAAAAATATATAAACAAGCAGAGCATAGAAAAACACATCTGCAATCCCAGCACTCTGGAGGCTGAGGCAGCAAGATGGCAAGTTCAAGCACAGTATGGTCAATTTAGTGACTTAGTGAGATTTTTGTCTCAAAATAAAACATAAGAATAAAAAAAGAGGGATAGGGATGTAATTCAGTGCAAAGGCTCTGGGTTGAACCTTTAGTACAGAAAAAAATCAATAATCTGTCCTTTTCTGCAGATGAATTTAAGGTTTGCAAGTTCTAAAATTTCAACTATAAGGAAGACACTTGAGCTACAAAAGAGAAGAATTTACACAGGAAAAAATCTCTTTACTGAAAATTTTGATTGGGAAAATAGATATGAATTTGCTTAGAAATTATGGGGATTTGGATAAAGGGGAGAGGGGTGAGTGAGGGAACAGGGTGTAAATATGATCAAGATTCAGATATGTAAATGTACCACTTTACCAAGATGAATGTAATTATTATGTACTGCAAACATATACTAATAAAAATGAAGTTATATATGTATGTTATACATATACATTCATATCAATGGGATTTGGAGTACCTTCTACACACTGCACTCAGACTTACACAAGTTTCCATTTTTTAAAAATCTCAAATTGTCTTCTGTTTTCTTAAAATCTCTGAGAAGGTATAAATAATACAATATCAGAGCTAAAAGGGACCTAAACAATTACCTAATCAGATCCCTTCTTACTGATGTAGAAATCAAGGTTCTGGAGGGGAAGTAAATTGCAAAGGTCACTCAAAGGAAGGCTAAGAATGTTAGTTTCTGGACTCACATATTTGTTTTACTCTTAACTGTCACCATTGCCATCTCAATTTTATAGATGAGGTGACCAAAGCATCTTAAGAATGTTGATAGCTAAGCTCCTGCCCTGTGTCTATTGAAATAGGAATTGAAATCAAATCTCATTTATTTTAAATTGAGGCTTGCTTTTATTCAAGCTGTTTTGATCTGGATGCCCAAAAGGAAGACCCCCTTCCTACCGAAATAAAGAGTGGGCTGATGATAATTTATAGAAAGCTTTGTCCTTCCCTATAAAAGTAAATTAAAGCTGCTTTATTTTCAAAACCCTGGCAGTTCCAAGGAGGTTCCATGAAGGCAGGAATCCACACACTTAGCACAAAGGAAGGTGCTCCATAAATATTTGTTGTATAGTGTATGACATACTTAAAGCAGAAAAGGAATGTAGGTCGGATAATGGTTTCCTAGTGCACGATGGGTGGACAATCAATAGTGAAGAAAAAGTGGAAATGCATGAGAAAAAGGTGTGAGAAACCCTTAAACAAAGGAAAAATCCCTCTATCTGAAACTGCAATCACTCAACAAGGGCTGAGTGGCTTGGTAAGAATGTAACTGGTAGAGATATTTAAATAAGGCCTCCTTAAAATTGTTACTTTCCACCCTACCCCCACTGTCCTTTAAATTTTGTTTCAGTCATTACCCAGGGACCGGATACAGAGATTCCTATGGGGAGTTCTAATGGGTCGATTCAATTTCAACTGGATGACGCCACTTAGTCAAGCATTAAGAGCTACAGCTCCGGGAAAGCAAACGGCACAGAGGGGGAGAGAAAGAAATTATAACAAGGAGCAATAAATTCCTTCCCATCCTCCCCAATAACCCATTCACAAGACCTCTAGAAATTGTGTACATTCACAAAACAGCCAGCGAGCTAAACTGAACACAGTGCTACCTCGTCCCCCTCCTCCTGCAGATTATATACCAACATACCCTGAGCTATATAAATAATCACACACTAGCGGTGTTGCTCCGTTGAGATACATTGCGTCTACAAACTGCAGTTTCTGCTGCTTCTGTTCTGACAGATTGGAAGAGACGGAGGCGGAGGTGGAGGCGGGGGCAAAAGAGAATTCGGAGGAGGAGGTAAGGAGGCGGAAGGGGGAGGGGAAGAGGAGGGGAAGGAAAATATTGGAGGGGGGGAAGAAACAGGAGGAGGAGGAGAAGGGGGAGGAGAAAGAGGCGGAGGGGGAGGGGGAGGAGAAAGAGGAGAAGGAGGAGGAGAACGAAGAGGAGGAGGAGAAAGAGGAGGTGAACAACTTACCCTGCTGAGCTTTCTTTGGGGAATGCGTGCATCAAGATTTAGAGCTGCATGTAAAATCCATCCAAAGTATCTGCCACTACAGGTCTGATTTCCCCGTCACCACCTCCTTTTTTGATATTGTTGTTGTTATGTTTTTTGGGTTTTTTTGTTTTGTTTTTTTCTGTTTCTGTTTTTTCTGCTGTGTCGGAAAGCCCAAGACAGAACTGTTTCTGGCTTCACTGCCAGTTTTCATTCAGACTTTCCGAAAAGAGGTGGAGAAACCTAAAGATTCAGAAGAGGTTCTTTGAGCCAGATGAAGCATTAATTCTGCTATTCTCAGCATGGATAAACCCTTTTCTCAAGGTAAGCCACAGAGATTAGCTCTTAAACACTTCAGAATTCCTTCTATGCAGTGCACAGATTGCCATTCATTCCAGCTATCCTGTGCAGTTGTGTGTGCGTGCATGTGTGTGTGTGTGTGTGTGTGTGTGTGTGTGCGTGTGTGTGCGCGCACGCAAGCGTGTGGGTAAAATAAAATGAAAACCTTTTAAATGAGATTTAAATGAATCAGCTCTTGTAGAAAATTATCCATATTGGAAATTTATAAATCAAGACTGTACTTTAAAATGATCCTTTTAAAACCAAATGTCAATTTAATGTATTTAATGTTCATTCTGTTGACCTTTAAATGCATTGGTGCTTCCCCAAGGCCCCTCATAACGCATGCAGCCTAACCACCCAAGCTGAGGACGGAGGAAGAGCCCGTACTGAGGCCAGTCTGCTGCTCAGCGGGCACCCTGTCAGTCTGGGGCTAGTCTGCTATTGGCTCGCAATTCTGGGCTGTGCATCGTTCAGATTTCATCACATCACCTTGCCCTGGATGGAAATGGCGCAAGCTGACACGGCATAACCCACCCACCCCACCCCCTTAAATTGAGTCAGAGCAAAGATCTAGAAATCTCAGAATCCTTACCTTAGATATGTATGCACATGTCTACGTATGTATAGCAGATGGGAATTTTGTCAAAAGTGAGAACCTGTGAGCATGTCTGGTTAGCCAGTAGGCACTAATAAAACGTAGGGTAATGGTTTACAGGATACTCCTGCACAGATGTTTAAGTATAATTACCACTCACCTCTGCATGCTGCAAACCAAGTTGGATGAACAGAAAACAGACACTGAACTCTTAAACAGAAAATCTATTTTAAAATATAAACTACAGTATTGTTAGTGTCTGTGCATATTAAAACCTTGCAGAATGTAATGTGATATGATGTGTTATCACATGAACTTCAGTAAACCAGTTGTTAAATCATGCTCCCAACAAGTCAGCTGCATACATAAATACAAATAAGGCATAGGCTAGCAGTTTATCCACAGTTAGGTATTAGTTTTGTTCTCCTTGATTTAAACATATACTGAGACTTGATTGTACCATCCTATACATTTTGTCTCTTTGTGTTCTGTTTTTAGGTTTCTCTAGTTGTGAAATATAGTCTAGGTAGTGATCGAGAGACTTGGATTTGGAGGTGTTTACTCAGATTTGAAGAGCTGAGTAGTGGGGAAGGACTTAAAGGAGACTAATTACTCATGAAAGAATTTGAGGCTAAGATATATAGCCAACAAACCCAGCATAAAATGTAGAGCATCTAGACAAGAAGAAAGGGCTAAAAAATTTCCTTTATACTTTTCATTTTGTTGATGAAGAAACTGAGAACTGGAACAGAGGTCATTTGCCTAGAACCACACAGCAAAATAAAACTAGCATTAGGACTATAATTTATGTTTCTTGTGACTTATGAAAAGACTTAAAGTTGAAAGAAAATATCATAGTTTTTTAAATGAACAACTAACTTCTTACCATTTTACTCAGGATTAGAAATATGCAAATAAAATTGATGTTACAATTTTCCCTATAGCACTAATCACTATAACATATCTTTAATAATGCAAGGTCTTAAAACTGCAAGACTTCCTGGTTTGAAATAGCTGCTATGAGTCTTAATGAAACTATTAAACTAATGAATAGGACTAAGGTAGCAAAGTGACAAATTAAGAGTTAAATGTGGTGAGAACCTGGCAGCTCCAGCAAGATGTATGCGGTATGAGGGAGGCCCAGTCAGTGGCTGAGAGGTTAGTAATGTAAACTATATACAACTTGGTATTTGTAAGGGGGGTGTGCTTTGATAGAGATGCAAATGCTTTTGCACAGAGAGGGATTTTTAGAGAGCAGACTTTGGAACAGTAGAACTAAGAAAACATATAAAGCCATAGCAGAAATTCCCCCTGTGTTTGCTTTCAGTTATTCTGAGAACGAGTGTATATAACAGCAGAGTACAGAAAAGAAGTAACCCACCCCAGAGCCTTTACACAGTGGGGTACAAAACAGCGTCAAATCTATGAAAGTGGGAGAAAATAGCAACCAAGCCCTCTGTCTTCTCCTCCTCTCTTTTCTTTGAAATCAACATTGAGTCATATTGTATCAGAAAAGATTTATCATAGAAATCAGAATTATCTTAAGGTGTTAGAATAGATGAGCTATAAATAGGAAAGTTTTTAACTTTACTATCAATGTGGCAAATTTTAGGTTTCAGGGAGAAAATATATTTTCTTTCATTAACAAATATTAGCATTTTTGGAATGGTTTTAGCCCTCTAGTCCCTAAATTGGCATAAGAAAAGAAATTTCTATTTAGGTTAAACACAGTAAATTCAGAAATACAGAAAAACTGTTGAGAAAGCTATAAGCACCTGGCCAGAGAGACTGAGATGGGAGTGGGTTTACAATGCATCATTCATTACTGCAGAGGCACTACGTGACAAAAATTCACTAGATACCATCAATATGCGCAAAGACTTGTAATCACCTTGACTCTTGTTTCTTAATATGTGGTACATACATCCTCTTATTTTCATTTAATAGAGCATGGCTTTGACCAAAAGCACAGTCAGTTTCTTAACTGTTGCTGCTTACAATGAATGGCTCTTTAGTGGGTGGATTTCTGAATCATAAACATGCATGTAGTGTTAGTTTTTCATTTAGTCTATGTGCTGCACCAGTCTGTTGCCTATTTGTTTCCCAACATTTTTCCTCTCCTAACTTACTCTTCATTATGTATCTATTTCAATTCATCCCTATTAGCCGGATCAGATTCAGCAGGTCCTTTATGGCAAACAATTTATTGCCATCCGATCCTTTTATTTAAATCTATTCAACACTTTGATTTTACCCAGGTCTTACTGCCCACTGTATTGCAGATCTTCCACACCGGATCCCAGAATCCATTCTAATAAAAGATTGTAAAGAGCAGGAAGAAACCTTCTGATTTCATCCTGTCAGTCCCCTTACCTGAAAGGAAGACAGTAAGTATCTCATCATCCCAGCTGATGCCCCCAACCAAGCCTCTCAATTCCTTGGTCTTGTAGAAATCTAATCAATATTCTAACACATCTTGTAATCTAAACATCATGTAACCTTCTGTTCCCCAGACAGAATCTCCTTTGAACATGGTTCTCATTATTGGTTCATAGTCATTTGTATTACGACCTAGATTCTTCCAATCTTGCTTTCAACCTTCTGGGTATATCCCTGAGGTACCTAGTGACATCCTTGGACTCCTGTCTCACATAAATATCTCCTGTAACTTTGAGACTTTGTATAACTAACTTCTTTTGAATCAGTGCTTCTTGGAATTTCTAATATATGATGATTCCAGTATCTTTTGGTAAATAAAGGTGTCTAAACTGCAGCTACCATAAATATTATCATGTTTACATTATAAAGAATTTGGAAACTCCACAAAATCTTTAGTGGATAAATGGGACATAAATCCATTTCTTATAAATTTGTTAAAAGATTCTTCACAGTCCAAACCTTCCACATCCACATATATCTTCCAAGCCAACTGAACAATGTGTTCTTATTTATTTGGATGTCCAAATGAAAACTATCTGTTCCTTTCCAGTCCAGGATTTATAATGAAAAGGTAGAGGTGGGAGGTTGCAGAGGACTTAGAGTACAAGTAAATGAAGAAGATGTACATTTTTGCTTTTGAATTTCCCCAAACTCAAGGACACATTTCCCAGCTTACCCTCAAGGACTTGAATATGTAAATGGCTAAAAGAATTATTTTATTGAATTTCATTGCTATAGAAATATAGACCATGATAGATAGGGCAAGCACCTCAGGGATCATCTAGTTCATTCCTATAATTATATAAAAATGAAAATGAAGCCCTGAACAACCAAGTGATTTGACAAGATTTGACAAAAGTAACGTAGATCATTGAGTCTTGGGATCTTCGTAGTATTTATCTGCATTATTTTGTGCTGAATTTATTTAACATCAAAACAACTAGCTAAGTGAAATTCTTGCCACAATAATTCTTTGATGAGATGTGGCAAATATGTTATTGTTAACCAAATGAAATCTTTTTTTCAAAAATCAATTGATGTAAACTTAATCAGGTTTGCGTGGGGATATAGCTTCAAAATTTACCTAAGTCTGGTCATTACTAATCATTGAATTATTTATGCATTCCTATTACTGAGTTGGGCACAATGCAGTGTCATGCTTACTTCCTTAGGGAAACCTAATCAGGTGCTATTTGCTCTTTCATTCATTTATATTACACATTCAAGCTATTCATTCTATATTAGTATGAGTAATTGATCTATTTTGAGAAAGGCTAAAATATGATAGATTTTAAATATATACTTTATTCATGCTATTGTTTACTAGGTCTTGTTACCTTCATGGTGTCTCTTGGATTTGTGTCTACATGTACACATTCTGCTGTTCAATCTTCTAGATGGTATGAAACTGTAGTTATTTTTTATTGTATTATTTTTTTGTATTTTTTATTGTATTGGAGATGCTAAGTATGTACTCTAACACTAAATTGCATTTCCTGCCCCAATGTAGTATTTTTACAGTACTTTTTTTTTTTTGGTCACTATTGTCAGCTCTAGGCTTTCTGATTCCTTAGGAGAATGGCTACCCAGCTCTTTGCAGTGGAGATGTGAACATATGCTTTCTAGATAATCAGTTTAGCTGAAATACATCATAGTAATATTGCTACTCTTTAAGAAATCAGGGGGTTTTGGTATAAGTTAAAGTTAAAGAAAAACAGACCAAGCAGAATCTTCTAACTAAATATCATCATTATGGAATTTACTAAGGTAGCAAGTACAATTACAGGTGATGTTTGAAATAATTCAGGGCTTGCTTTCCATTGTTCTCTGTAGTTCACTCAACCCCAGTGTTACTCTTTTGTCTGAAAACAATTTTGACTTTGGAGGCACTATGTCATTTAAAAAGAATCACTTCCGAAATAAACTAAAGCCAATGTAAGGTGAGAAGAATTACAAAATGAAAAGTTGGCTTCCTTTACTCTTGACAAAGTATTTCCTATTACTCTACTGATAGCCTAATTCCTGTCTGTGTCTCTGCCATATCAGTTATTATTGTACCTGGCTTGCATACCTGCCTGCATTGAATCAAGCAATGCGTTTTCCTATCTGTGCTTTCTCATTGTCATAAATTTCAATGAAGTGAAAATTTTTTATTGTATTCACACACATACACATAATTATATGAGCAATTTCTTGTGGGAGAATTTTGAGGTATTCTCTTTGATTTTGGGATTGCCTTAGGAAGTGCATTTTACATTTAAAATTTGGTTCCATTTATATTAGAATTCTGATGCTCAAGGCTTATATTTCTCCTACCAAAACCTAGAATGAACTAGCCACTCCTGTGAACCTACTTGTATGATGGAATACGAAAAGTCATTATTTAATATTTGCTCCCAAATTGCTCTACAACCTGAATGATTGACCAGACTAGTCTACTAAGAAATAGATAGAGTCAATTACAATGTAAATATATGGCATGAATACTACTATAAAGTGATTAAAGATAGTGGTAGTAATAGGACCTGACCTTTGTTGGTTCCCTGAAAAGCACTTATACCTGTGTTTATTGTTTCTATTTCTTTTCTTCTAGGATCTTCTGATGTGCCCTGAGATCCATGTAACTACAAGGGCTCCTGTTTATCACCATAAGTGCCACTCTGACGCAAAACCACTCAGAGATCAAAAATCAAGGCAAAATGGATGCCACAGTGATGGATGATTTCCAACAAATTTTGCCTATTGAACAGCTGCGCTCTACTCATGCTAGCAATGATTATGTGGAACGGCCTCCAGCCCCCTGTAAACAGGCCCTCTCCAGTCCTTCCCTTATCGTGCAAACACACAAGTCTGATTGGTCCCTGGCCACCATGCCAACTGCTCTTCCCCGCAGTCTCAGCCAGTGCCATCAATTGCAGCCCTTGCCTCAGCATCTGAGCCAATCTAGCATTGCCAGCTCAGTGTCTCATAGCACCACTGCCTCTGATCAAAGGCTCTTGGCCAGCATCACCCCCTCACCTTCAGGCCAGTCCATCATCCGAACCCAGCCTGGAGCAGGGGTCCACTCAAAGGCTGATGGTGCTCTGAAGGGAGAAGTTGAGCAATCTGCAGGACACCCCAGTGAGCACCTCTTCATCTGCGAGGAGTGTGGGCGCTGCAAGTGTGTCCCCTGCACAGCAGCTCGCCCTCTCCCCTCTTGCTGGCTGTGCAACCAGCGTTGCCTTTGCTCTGCTGAGAGCCTCCTCGATTATGGCACTTGCCTCTGCTGTGTCAAAGGCCTCTTCTACCACTGCTCCACTGATGATGAAGACAACTGCGCTGATGAGCCTTGCTCCTGTGGGCCTAGCTCTTGCTTCGTCCGCTGGGCAGCCATGAGCCTGATCTCCCTCTTCTTACCCTGCCTGTGCTGCTACCTGCCTACCCGTGGATGCCTCCATCTGTGCCAGCAGGGCTATGATAGCCTCCGGCGACCAGGCTGCCGCTGTAAGGGGCACACCAACACTGTGTGCAGAAAAATCTCTTCTGGTAGTGCACCCTTCCCCAAGGCCCAGGAAAAGTCTGTATGACCTTCCTACAAGATGGATCCAGAGCTTTCTCCTCCTGATCCCCATCCGTAAAGCATTGGCCTCATCTTTGGAGAGGGGGAGGAGTAATAAACTAGCCAAAGTTAGGGCCTCACCTCTTTTGTTCCTGCAGCGTCAGGGGAATGGCAAAGTACATCCTGGTGCAGGATGCCTTGTTGTTTTTCACAGTATCTATTCCATTCCTCTTCAATCTTTTTACCCTACCAGCTCAGCTCTTATGGCTGTTCTGGCAAATTCAGGTGATACTGTATATGGGCTTGAGGTTTGGACACTGAGGACTGACAGAGCCAGCAACGTAGAGGTTTAGGGGCTCCCCAGTGCAATGCCTCTCGGTGCAGGCTCTGATTGTCACTCTGCTTTCCACAGTGCCCTTGGAAGCTTTCTTCTAAGATGGTTTTCATAGGCACATGTGGAACAGCGTTCAACCTTCCAGGGAATATGACCCTGTCTCCCCGTTTACTGCCCTTGTTTTCTCTATTCCTTGTGTCTCCTCTTCCTTGCTCTTCTTTCATTATCCTGTTCTATTTTCCTCCCCTATTCATTCTCAGCCTATTTTTACTTTTTTCTTTTCTCTCTCTCGTCCTTTCTCTCCTCTCTGTCTTATAGATTAATCCCCTCTTTGTCTGCATTTTTCTCTTTTGATCTATACTTGTGTCCCTTTACCTGTCCTTTCTCTAACATGTCCAAAAGTGCTGTTTTTCCATAGGTGTTTCCTTAGACACCAAACTTTGCTATGCTATACTATTTTCTAATTTTTATTAAGGGAAATGGATTACTGTAATGGACTGATCACTAGCAATAGTCTGTATTCTGATGTGTGTGTGCATTCACAATCACACTCACCTGTATGTGAGCATTTGAGGTTAAGTTACCTTATATTTCCAGATTTAATTTGTTGGAGTTTTTCTCTTTCCCAATAATCAACATACAGTATTGACAGATTCCACTAGCATGCTGAGTAGGATAGTAAATCAGGATGCTCATAACTTTGTATGTCTGACCCAAGTGCCAAAGGCAGACGTGCTTTATAGCTGAATGAACAAAGCAAAGGATATTACAGAGGTACGTTCTCTCTTAGAAGAAAACTGCCCTGAGACTGCATGGCTCGGGCCTTAATAATGGACATAAAAGTCATAAAACTTTAGAGCTGGAAGGAATCTTAACTGCTAATCTAGTTCATTGTCCTTATTTTACAGATGAGAAAACTGAAGCTGGACATAGGAAAGGACTTGCCCAAAGTCACTCTGAATTAATAGTAGAATCAAGACTGGAATACAGGTCTTCTGACTTAGTTCAATATTTTCCTCCCCTGCACCACACTGAGTCATGGGGCTTTTTCCTAGGACTCTTATGAACAATGACAGAAAGCCATTCCCTTCCAATTACCTTTCAGTAATCGCTCCATGTTACTGTGGTGGTCTTTCTGCAGTGCATGGTGGGTAGCTAATTAACTAACAGGTGTTGAGGCTGCCCCCTGTGGATATCACCTTTGGCTCAGTCACCTTGTAGAAGCTCAAGTATGGAAAAGAAGCCCTAACTAAGCTGTATCTTCGCCATTGCATCTACTCTTTGCTGCACACACTGTGCTTGCTCCTGGCTTTGTCTGCAATGGCAACTGCCTGAGAACCTAGATTTCAGCAACAGTGAAAAACTGAGATGAAAGATATATAACATAGAGAAGTGACTCCTTTCTTTAAAAATACAAAGAGCCTGTGCTGCAAACCCCTTTCAATGGGAAAAGGCTGCAGTTATGATGGTAGGCTCCTAAAGACTGTTGCTAAAAGACATGAGAATTATATAGTTTTCCTCTGTAAGTGAATCCTAAATTCACCAAGGAATTCAGAGATTGAGGGCACTTGCTTGAAATCAAGGTGCTCCAACTTAGTTTAAGACTTCCAGACTCTATATATCATCTTTGAAAGTGTGCATTGATGTGTGTTTCAGGGTGGAGAATTGAGAAAAATTGTATAGTCATACACAAGGGGAAGAAGGAGGGACATCCATGCCCCTTTGTTGGATATATTCTACATAAATATGTGCCACTTAATCTTTGTTGGTTCTGAATCTTCCTGAAGTGTATTGACATTTGGCTTGCACATAATCCCACATCTTCACCTACACTTCCTCTTCTAGAATTGCTTTGCTCTATTTTTGTATATATAAATATGTTATGATGATTATTAATAATGTTAATGATATTGCTGCAAATGGTGCCATATATAAGGTTAGGCTTCTTGTAACATTTATAAATCTAAACCAATATCTGTAATCTCTTATGTTGCTTTTAGATACTTACATTTTAAGTACCTTGTTTTTATCTTATAAGTCTGCCTGATTATACTTAAGCCTATCTTTTCCTAAAAGTTGTGCTCAGTCCTCTGGGTCAAGCTGGAAGGTGATGAGTAACAACATACACTTCTCTCTGCTTCTGCCTGAAGTTTGCTTAGTACTCAGATATCTAAGGATTCTCTAACACTAGTGCATTGTTCTGGAGTTAAAGTTATTATATAGATGTTTGCTTATTAGTTTCAGGGCCCAAAATAAGTCCCTCTTTCTTGATAATTCTTTGATATTCCAAACTTGCAGTCCTTACTCAGGCAAACTGTGCACTGCCAGAGGGGCCCTGGGCTCTGCCATATACCTAGAGGAGCTCTTCTCAGTGTATTTCAAAATGGCCTTACACTTGGGAGAAGAAACTGGAGGATTACTCGATTGCAGTTGCAATTTGCAGTCTGCTGCTGAGCCAGGGCTTTCACTTGTGTCCAAGTTGGCCTGATATGGACTGCATCTGGTTTACATATAGATGGGTCCTGTTGGGGTATGCGCATGGACGTGTGAGTGAGTGTGCTTATGTATCCCTTCTGTGATTTCATATATATATATATATATATATATATATATATATATATAACATATATATATATAAACATATATATATGTAAATATATATATTCACACATCTATATATTTTAATGTATTGCACATGTATATTTAAAATATATACAAAAGAACTCTAAATCCTGCAGAATGACTCTGTTTTCATTATTTTTCTACTTTGTGTCATGTACTTTATAAATAGAAATACTTGGAGGGTATTTCCTGCTTGGCATTTTCTTACAGTTAAGTCGTGTTACCCCTTAACTCTACTACTTTCTACATTCTGATCCCTTGATACATTTTATATGACATTAGCCAAGAGTTTCCCTTGGGATTCAACTCATCTTCCCTTATCACAATAGCTATAATAAATATAGCAAACATTTGCATAGTGCTTACTATGTGGTAAGCACTACTTTTAACATATTGCTTATATTAATTTCATTCAGTCTCCACATTATGATGTAGTTACTATTTCCTTACCTGTCTTATTGGTGAGAATATTGAAGCACAGAGAGTTAAAGCGGCTTTCCAAAGATAACAATTGTAAATTGTGGAGTGAACATTTGAACTTAGGTTGTCTGACTCTCAGGTCCATGTTCTACATTCATATATACAAATATTAGGGAAAAAAGAAATTTGTGGCAGATTGTAAATCATTTTGGAGTAATAAATTGTGGATGGCCTTTTCCTTAATTCTACTTCATCTGTGGCCTGAGAGTTGAAATAGATGTGCTCCTTTATACAAATAAAAATTGAGCACTAATTATAGACGTATATTAGCTGTCTTACTTCCCAAGATGATAGTATTACAATTTGATTTTTGCAGATTGAAATGACTTTATTCCAGGTTCCTTTTTTCCATACCTATACGTCTTAGCTTGAGTTTTGCTTGGAGCAAAAAGTTTATATGCAATCCAAGGAAGAAAGACCAAGGAAAAGGATATATCAGGGAAAGAAGAACAAAATAGTATGTGTATTATTGAGTCTGAGTTGGCTACAATCTTTTTCATGGCAAGCTAATTTCTCAATCTCTAATGACAGACCATATGAAACTACTACATATTTATACAACTCATCTGTGGAAGAAAGGAAGAACAATTTGTTGGGTAGCTCCAATTGCATTACACACATTTCTTCTTTACATGATATTAACCTTTCTGAGTTTCTGGGTAGTGCATATATGGGCATGCAAACATGTACCCTTGGCAGCAATGAAGAGGCACTGTTGCTCCAGTACAGACAGCAAGCCAAGCATGTCAATATAGGGAGTGGTATAAACTTAAATTGCTATACTCAGATGATGCTTATACCTCTAATTATATTCTCTTAAAGTGATTTGGAGACAATCTACCAAATTTATAGTGAAGAAGGATTTATTATGTTGCTCAGAAATATACTCTGCCTTGCTTTGAAGGACTCTCATTTTACATGGAAATGAAATCTCTAGCTCAATAAAAGTAGTCATAAAGCTTCAAAATATATATCCTTGTTAGTACAAAAAGATAATCTATATTACTAAACTTATCAAGTAATATTTGTATGAGTGTATATATGTTCATTTAAGCTTAATCAGCATAGTAGCAGGAAAATTCATCAATAAATTCAGGAATAAATGGTTTTAAGGTTTTTTTTTTTTTTTTTGAGATGGGGTTTGGTTACGTAGTTCAGGCCGGTATTGAACTCATTATTGTAGCTCATGCTGGCCTCAGACTGAAGGTTGATCCTCTTGCCTCAGACTCCAGAGTGTTGGGATTACAGGTGTGCACCATTACTCCCAGATTAAAAAGGTGTTTTACAACATGAAAATAAAGAAATAATGTTGGTCAACTGATGTGTTATCAGTTTTCTATCACTGTGGCAAAACACCTGAGATAATGTACATTAAAAAGAGAAAGGTTCAGTTTAACTCATCATTTCAAAGGTTTAATTTCATAATTTATTGATTTGTTGCTTTAAATCCAGTAAATCATGGTGGGAGAACATGGCAGAAAATATTATTCACTTCACAGTGGCCAGGAAAAAAATACAGGGATGAAGGACCAGTATCTCCTCCAAGGTCAACTCCATATGACCCAAATTCTTATTACTACATTATACTTCTTAAATATTCCAAAGCTGGAATGTAGCTCAGTGGCAGAGAACTTGCCTGGCATATATGAGGCCCTGAGTTTCATCCCCAGAAAACACACACACACACACACACACACACACACACACACACAATACAAATACAGTTTTAAAAAAAAGGTTCCATCACCTCTCAATATCGTCACAGAATGTTAATCCTTTAACATAATCCTTTAATCTTCAGGTAACGTTTATTAAAATTATAACAACTGATTTTAAAAATATTTCAGTTACTAATTATGACATCACAGAGACATTATAAAAGTGGTAGTATCTTTTATTTTTATACTAGATCCCTGTGGCTTATGGACCATCCTTACATGAAGTCAAAGCATTTGATTGATAAAAGTATTCCATTAATATATTTTCATATTTATGGACAAGATCATAAAATCATTAAATATATTCTACTGATTTAATTCTTTTTTTTCATGCAGGACAATATGAGTGTAAGGGAAATCTGAACACTTTTCCACATAAATAATGAAATCAGGTTATTTCTCAAAATGGTCTGTAAAAATTCTTCTCTAATGGCTTCCACTATAGTAAATCCAGTGGTTAATTTACAGTCCTCAAAATAGCATGGCCCTTTAGGAGCATTTGACTACTTCTCAATCTGTCCTCCTAAAAACCCTTTAATTACTTTGACTTCCAGAAACCACACTCTGAATGGTTTTCTTCCACTTCACCAACTTCTGCCACCTTTATTGGATCTGCTCATCTCCCTCACCTCTTAATATTCAAGTATCTCATAGATTGATCCTTGGGCATCTGCTGTTTTAAGTACCATTTATGTGATAATAACCTTTGCAATTATTTCTCCAGCACGACCTGTTCCTTTGAAGCCCATCTCTTGGATACCTAACTGTTAATTTTACATCTCTACTCCAATATGCAGTAGAGATTTTAAACATATATTCAGACTGAGCTCCCAATCTTTCCCACATCAAACTACCTCTGTACTCTTTCTTTTTTCCTTTAATGCCAACCACAAACTTCTAGTGGCTCAGATCTAAAGCTTTTCAGTAATACACTAGGCTTTTATTAGTGAATCTAGCCAAAATTTTCAACTTCCAAATTCTCAATTAGTCATGTAGGCTGACTAAGCTAAACAACATATTATCATCTGTATATCTTTTGAACCTTTTGTCTAAAACACGAAAAGATTTAATAAGAGAAATGTCCTTAGTATCGCTATCCCAATTTAGGTCCGTATCTGATCTATCTTGATTCTAAAAAGTGTCATCACAACACTACAAATTTCTTTCAAAGGCCAAGATGTTTTGTTGTGCTTTAATTTAAGGTCAGGATGGGCAATGTAAGGAAATACATCTTGGGAATAACATTGCTTATTATTAGGGATCTTGTAGCTATTGCACTCCAAGCTACATATATTTGCTCCTAGATAAATTTGTTGACCAATTTTTGGAAAATGATAACCCAAAAGTTATCATTTTGCAACTAAGAAGGAAATTCTTCTGACTGTGCCAGATAAGGGTCATATTTCTGATAAAAGGTACAGATAATAAGGATCTGGAAGCCCTCAGGTCCTTGAATTGACTAACCTTTTCATTGCAAGTTGCTAAGGAAGAAAAAATACATAATCATATAAGCGAATATTTTGACTTTATTGATACAGAGCTCTAATATCAAGTCACTTAAATGTTCTCCTACTGTGAGGAAGCTAGGGTAAAGCATATGTGAACCCTGAAGAGACATTTTGAACCTATGTCTAAGGCCTAAGCTAAAGAGATTGACTCCTTCTGCCCTTTTCCTCTAAATCTAGAAGTTGACCACAAGTTGTCAGTCCACCCCTGTCCACCCTGGTTAGCTTGATAACCACACACATTCCCTTAAACCAGCATCTTCAGTGGCAGATATGTGAAAAGTTAATATGTCTTCATCTATTCAGATTTATATTTATATAATAATTACATATATATATATATATATATATATATATATATATATGTATAACTCTTATTGCACTCATTCCCACACGAAAATCAAAATATTCGAAGGGTGGTCAAAATTCAAGATTAAAACCACAATACTTTGACTAATCAGCCTGATTACTAACATATATATAAAAGCCACATTAAAATCATATCAAAAGAGTTATTACAATCACAGTCCTTGGTTCCCATTAACTTTTAACAGAAGAGCATAGCAAGACAAAAAAAAAGGGATGGCCTGCATTTCAAATGCATTCTTCCATTCAAGTGAAAGACTTCAGTTTATTTTTTCACTCTCTTGTTCCTTCTCTACAATCACATTCTCGTCTACTCTTACCCTTGCAATCCACAGCTCCAGTGGAGCTTTCCCTCTGACCAAATGCTTCACATCATTCTGCTGACTCTTCACTCTAAATTTTGAATGTATATCTGGCCAAAAGTTCTTAGCAATAACTATGCCACTGCCCTAACAGTAGACTGCACTAAAATTTTTTCTGCCACCCAGGAAATGACTCTAACACAAGCACAATGCAGAACAACTTTCTGACAAAGAAAAACATATGGCACCTGGGACCCAGCAGATAGTGCAGTCCTTCTCAAAAGAAGTTGAACCTCATCTTAATAAGCAGAATTTCATCAATACTCTGAAATTCCAGGCTCTAATCAGAGTTTCCCATATAGTTTACAGTATACAGGGGTTGTCTCTTGAATTGACTAGCCCTTGCATTGCAAGTTGCTGAAGAAGAAAAAATACGTAATTATACACGTCTCTAAAATTTTTCCAAATTCATTTCCAAGGCTCTTAAGCCACATAGCTGGGCAACATTATAGCAATGGCCCCACTCCTGGTACCAATTTTGTTGTAATCAGGGCTTGCAAGGGAAAGGAGTTAATACAGGACACATAATTTATAGAATTATTTTATAATATTCACCCAAAGAGTCAAATGTGAAAGAGTACAGGAGTTCTGTCCACACATTAGAGATCCAGAGAATGCAAGTAAAGGCCTGGATCCCATGGCAATGTCATGCATGAGTCTAGCTAAAATCCTAGAGCCCATGGAAATGCCCCCCATGAATCCAACTGGAGGTGTAGAGCCCATGACAATGTCTCATGTAAGTCTGTTTCAAGAATCTGTGCTGGAAAGACCCAAAGATCAGTGGTAGAGGTTAGAAAGTCTGTGCCAGTGGGATGAAGGATCTGTGCCAGCCAGGCTGAGGGATCTTCACTGGAACCAGGAAGTGGCACTAAAATTAAAGACTAGAGCTCCCCTGAAAAGAACCACATTCATCCTCATCAACAAGGACCTGAGCTCCTCTGATGATAATAGCCAAGTTCGTAACAGGATAGCCAGGATAGGATTCTTCAGGAAAACTAACAGTGCCATCTCTTCCTCCCCTGTTCTCCTTTTTATATTGCTGACAACAGATGGGAGTTATGAGTCGTCCATCAGTTGTCAATACACCACAATATCGTTTAATCCTTACTTCAAAACTTTTACCACTTGATGACAAAAGCATTTAGAAAAAAATCAAGAAAAGGAATCTTTATAATACCAGAGATTAGCTGACTAATTAGCTTTACTGTGTAATTTTTGTTTCTGAATGGTCTTTTTCTAAAGGAGGTAAGAGACTTTCCTGATAAAAAGACTCAAGGCCTGCTTTCATACAGAAACCATATTGAAAGAAAGAAAAAGTGGCAAGAGGTAATACCACATGTGGGCCTAAAAAGATAAACAAAGGTTAAAAATATTAACCATGTGGAAGAAAGAAAAAGGTTTATAATCAGGTTGTTTCTCTCAACTAAAGCATGTTTTACTAATTCCTTGGCTTGTTAAGTTGTACTTTTGAACTCTTTTTGTTCTTATACCAACACTCTTTCAAACTCTGACAGCACTTTAGCTAGAATTATTCTATTTCTCATTTATGTGTTTCTGTGAGACAGAGCTAGAGAGAGAGAGAGAGAGAGAGAGAGAGAGAGAGAGAGAGAGAGACAGAGACAGAGACAGAGAGACAGAAAAAGAGAGAATCTCTGAACTCTCACCAATAGGTTCAAGCTTAGAATAATGCCACAAATACCATCTGCCTTTCAAATTTTCTTTTAGGAAATGCTCCATAGGATTTGAATCATGAACTAAATGACAAGGTTTTTCTCCATCAGAGAGAAATACCAGACTGGATTGGTGGTTTTCCCTGGATTGTTTTTTCTGAGTCACTGTGGTATTATGGAAATAATAATATCCTGAGACGAATTAAAACAGTGTCTTTAGACATGGAGCTGAGAACACATTTTTCAAAGCTTCCAGGTGATTATAATACACAAACAGTATTGGGAAATCCCAATTATATTACTCTATAAATGCAAATAGTGAAGCCCAGAGAGGGGAGATGACTTACTCATAACCACAAAGTGAGTTAGTGACTAAAGTGTACAGTAGAAATATTGAGGTCTGCAAATGCCTAGGCCACAATTCTTGTGTTGATACTGAGCTGCTTCTCTCTTTATCCCCATGATTCCTCTGGAACTTTGCTTTCTTCAACTGTAAAATGAAAATAATAAAGCCTAAAAATTTTATAAGAATAATTAAAGCAGAAGGAATTTTATTGATTGTAAAGGAATATCATACTTGAGGGAATTAATGCATAACATTTGTGAGGGTCTTTTTCTGAAACAAAATTTTTTATTATTTATTGATAAATTATAGCTGTATATATTTATGGGGTAATGATTTTTAACACAACATGG